CTTCGTCTCTCAGTCCATCCAGCTCTTCATCCTCTACTTCTTCAACATGGCCGTGCTGGCCACCTACCTGCCCCAGGAGGTCCTCAAGCTCATCCCTCTGCTCACGGGGCTGTTTGCCATCTCCCGGTAAGTGGCTCCTTTACCCTACCCGGGCAGCAGCAGGGTCGGTCAGTGCTGGCAGACACCATGCCCCAGTGCCAACTCCTGCCCTGGCACCGCCTCACCCAGCCAATGGCAGCCAGGAAAGCTGGCACAGGGGAAGGGCTGCTCCATCCCGCAGCGGCCGCGCCTGGCAAACCTTGCAGGGGTCAGAACCTGGTGCCAGCGCCAGGGCATCGCCCTCACAGAGCCCACACCCTCTCTGCCCTCTCCAGGTTGGTTTACTGGTTGTCGTACGCCATCGGGCGCTCCTTCCGTGCCTTCGGCTTCAGCATGACCTTCCTGCCCCTCCTGGCCATGCTGGTCTGGAACCTGTACAGCATGTTCGTCGTAGAGCCCGAAAACCTCCTTGCCCTGGCAGCATTGAAGCCCGAGGACCGCTCCAAGGACAGCGGGGCCAAACTCCGGTACTGGGGATGAGCGAAGCCCTGGGGAGATGGGGTGCCCAGACCTCTGCCCTCCTCGGTGCCCTGCCTTGTGAGCCCTGAAGGTGGAGGGGTGCAGGCAGGTCTGGCTGGGCCCCTGCTCCCTGCCCGGCCCTGGCAGGGCTTCGCCGGGCACCTGGGGTTGATGGAGCGAAGCTGTAAAACCCCTCTGCACTCAGGAGTTTCCTGCATGAGGACGAGCAGGGCCTGGAGCAAGACCCAGTGAGCCCCGTTCCGTGGGGATGGGCTGGGGTGGGATTTGCCTGAGCTCCTGCTGGACCCGGCTTTGCCCAATAAAGCTGTTCACCGAGTGGCTCTGGCTGGTTTGGGGAGGGTGGCTTGATGTTCCCCAGGGTAACAAAATGATGTTTCCCCAAACTGTCCATCTCCCAGCCCCGCACCCTGCCCTCGGGTCCCTGCGTCGTGGCGTGGCCAGTCCAGCCCAGCTTGTCCCTCCTCTTCCTCCTGGTGGAGGGTCCGGCC